TGAACAAAGGAGGAAGAGGCGGAAGAAGCTTTTTCTCGTCTTCCTGATTTCCCGTTTAGAATTTTTTTTTTTTTTTTTTTTTTACTTAATTGGCTGGAAAGTGCTTGACATGCAAAGTTAGTGACATTAACAGGGAGCGTGTTTGAGTAAATCCGAGCGCAAGTGACAGCCAAATTGTACCCGGGGAAATTGTGAAGCCTTCGACATGGAGCGTTTCCTTTGGAGGGTGGAGGCTGGCAGTTGTAATTGCAGTACTGGACTGATGGGAATTCTAAAGAAGGTTAGCGGGCGGAGGAGTGGGGGTGGGCCGGTCCCCACGGCCTGGTCGATTTGTCTGTGGGTTCCAAATCCAGGCTTCCACTGCAGCCCCCCCCCACCCAGTTCACCAGTGTATAGTAGTTTGGTGACTTTATTTGTTCACTGTGTTATTTGTCGATTGGATTTCCATCTTTCTGTGTTCAGTCTTGAGTGAGCTTTTCAGCCCGGAGCAACTGGGTGAATTGCCTCTTAACCCCAGCCTGCTGGATAACGTCGTCACTCTTCATTCCAGTTAAAGCCAGTTGCCGGCATTTTACCTTGCAGCCGCGATCGCTCTCCTCGGTCTGCTCCGTCTCCTGTGCCCTCTCCGTCCGTCCCACGTTCCCTCTCTTCACACCGCCAGTCAAGGTCGCGCTTTTCAGTCCGGCGTTCCTCCTGTGCCACACGTGAGCATCAGATGCGAAATCCCAAGAGCGATCATACCTGCTTGCCACGCAGGTTCGTTTTCACGGCTCACCCACCGCCCCCCCCTGCCTGTGACCTATCTGCTTTGACCTTTGGGTGATTGGCATTGTAATGACCCAATCACCAGATTGATGCTGGCCCAGTCACAATAAAGGAATTGGAGTGGTGCTTTTCCCCCCAGTGTCTCTCTTTATTTCTCCATCACCCATCTGTCAGCAGTGTTGTTAGCTCTTTGTTAGGGGGGGGGGCAGGAGAAGCAGGGGGGAGGGGGGCCAGGCACTATAGCAAGCCTTCTAATTTTGTTGCCATATTCTGCCAAATTGCACGGTTGGGGGTGTTAGGTGCGGGGGGGTGGGTTGGAAAACACACTGACACGGAGGGATCAGAGGTTACCGACCCCTTGCTGCCTCCTGCTGGCTGATCATGGAAGCGCTTTCCCCATGTATACTGCTGTCGTTCTGACCCAGTGTGGCTATTAGCATCCATGACCAGTCCCTGTTCACAATGCCCCCTCCCCTTGTATGTGCCCCCACCCCCAGTGGAGACCTTTCCGGGGCCTTGGACGCGGTGCTGGACCACTGCAGGCAGTACAAACAGCTTCCCCGCTTCCACGACCTGCTGTGTCACCTGGTGGAAAAGGGGGAGACTGAGCTCCTGCAGAAAGGTGAGGCCTCTCTGCATCGGCGTGGGGTAGGGGGAGGCGCAACCTGATATGGGGGCGGGGGGTGCTTTCTCTGTGATTTTATTTAATCTGCCGTGCCGCACTTCCTGCTCTCGTTCCCCCAAGCCATGGACTTTGTGAGCCAGGAGAGGGGCGAGATGACGATGCTGTATGACCTCCTGTTTGCCTTCCTGCAGACGGGCAGGTACAAGGAGGCCCGCAAGATCATCGAGGTGAGGCTGGGCCCCCGCCGTGCCTGGGGTGCAGGGCTATTTAAGGAGTTTAATGAGACCATGCTTGATGTTCCTTCTCAGAAATGAAAGTTTGTCACAGTGATGGTCTGCCGGTGGTACGTGGGTGGGGTCTGTTTGGACCAGACTTTTAGACGTCATGTTTAGGTCTGCCTTCTGTCAACAGTCTATGTCATTATCTAGCTCTGGGATGAATCCATTCGTTGGTCCTCTAAAGACTAGGCGAATGGGTTAAGAGCAAATCGGGCTGGGCCCTCCGTCTCCGATTCTGTTCCGTAAGCGGCTTAGTGAGCTGCCGGGGGCGGTCGAGTCGGTCACATGTGATTAAGCGCAGCCACCCACTCGATGGACCTGTCACTCGCTCTCGGATAGAAGCCGAGGGAGACACTAGGAGAAGGTCAGGTGTGGCGGAAGGTCTCGGAAGGGCGCTGCTTGTCAAATGCGGCAGAAAGGATTTCTGCATGCTCTCCATCAGAATGGCCTCTTGTGGTGTCTGCTTTATAAGCAAGGCTGACTGTGTAGTCTCTCTTTATGAGCAAGGCTGACTGTGTAGTCTCTCTCTATGAGCAAGGCTGACTGTGTAGTCTCTCTCTATGAGCAAGGCTGACTGTGTAGTCTCTCTCT